TAAAAAAAAAAAAAAAAGAATGTTTAATGACATAGAAAAAGGTTCATAATATATTTTAAAGTGAAAAAACAGGTTATAAAATGTTACATAAATATTTCAACTCATTTTAAAATATATATGTATATGTGTATATGTGTCTATAAATACACAAAGTTAATAAAAAATACATAGGGTTTAGCATTATGGTAGCTTTTATTTTGGGCACTTTTGTTTTCCTCAGAGTCTACAAAACTTTCACTTCTGTAATCAGAAAAGAAAATGGAGTTATATTTTGAGCTCGATAAGAATTTCACTCTTTATTACTGCAGCAGTCAACCTGCCTCTTGCTGTCCCTTTCCTCCCGTCTATCAGTGATGCTGTCTCCTATGGTTCTCAAAACTTGAATTACACCATTCCCCCCTTGTATTACTTTAGTCTCAACACAAACCAAAAATCCTCTTTTCTTTTCTCTTCAGCAGCTGAGACAAGGTAGTGTTTTCCAAGTTCAACTGGGAGAATAAAAAGGAAAACAATGCTAGCAAATACTAGTAGGAACAAAATAGTTATGGCAAGATGTTGGTTCAGCATGCTGTCTATGTCTGTGCTAATAGTTTTTAGTTTGCTTTTAAGTATTAATTAGTTAATTAATTAGTTGTTATTAAGTAGTAATACTCAATACTTTGTTTAATACAACAAAAAAGTCCAAAATGTTACATTAATAATTTTTACATTGATTATACACTGAAATGATTTTTAGATATATTGCATTAAACAAAACCTGTTTTGAACATTTATTGCAGCTGGGTTTTTTTACACCTGTTTTAAATGTGGCTACCAGCACATTAAAAATTGCATGGCCTCTTCTCCCTTGTTTGCCTTGACTAAAAAAGGTTGCAAAGCTACACACTCCCGTTTCAGCCCCTTCGGCCAGGGGTAGTCATGTGACATGGTTCAGCGCACGCCTGAGAGGGGATCTGAGGAAACTTTTGCTTTTCTGAGAAAGAGAAAGACCCAGCTGCCACTAATCCTTGTCCACTTTTTCCATTTCTTTCTGCCTTGAATGAAGGTTTAATGCCAGTTGCTAGGGCAAATGGTGTGTGGTCATAAGAACAAAAGCCAGCCTGCTGAGGAAGAGGGAACAGAAAGGACACGTGGGCCTGAGGTCCTGAGAGCAACACTATCAACTGAACCAATGCCAGCAACTACCCAATTCAAAAAAGCCCCCTTTTCAAGGCACTTAGGTGACATTCTGTTACTGGTACATGCTCCTAACTGATGGAACAGTTAAGTCTCCAAAAGGCAGATCTCTGGGCCTCAGCCGACAAGCACGTAGGCCCCACAGGGGCACAAGCTTTCTAGGTCCCACCCTGCTCTCCTCTCCCTCGGCTGCTCTGCAGCTCCTGCAAGGCCCCCATCTTTGCACACCCACTTGGGAACCATCCCAGTTCCCCATAGGTCAAGACCCAAAAGACCCAGTTTAAAACTTTAGGGCCCCTATGCTAAATCAATCACAGTTATTAAAATCCTATTTTAAAATAATATTTAATGGCACAGAAAAATGTTCATATATATTTTAAAGTGAAAAAACAGGTTATAAAATGTTTCACAGGCTGACTCAGCACGGGCCCGTGGGCTCCAGACAAATAAACATGGAGTCCATCTTTCAACAGTCCAGAGTACCAGAGGCTCAGAGTCGATCCCATAAATGAAAGATCATTTATATGCAATTAATTATAAAGAACATTGGTTTAGTTAGAAAATTAGGAAAACAATGGTTCAACTTGAATTCTCTCTTGAAGGGTCCAGATTTAATATCAGACACATACCTTGCACTTTTCTTGGCTCAGTTACAACAGGAAGGTTATTCTATATTTGTTGTTAAGGGTGACCTGCCAGATCGTGAAGCCGACCAACTCCTGCAGATGACCAGGGTCCAACAGATGCATCGACCAAAACTTATTGGAGAAGAATTAGCACAATTAAAAGAACAGAGAGTCCAAGAAACAGATCTAGAACAAGTCTTAGAAGCAAATGATGGGTCAGGCATGTTAGACGAAGATGAGGAAGATTTGCAGAGGGCTTTGGCACTAAGTCGCCAAGAAATTGACATGGAAGACGAAGAAGCAGATCTCCGCAGGGCTATTCAGCTCAGTATGCAAGGTAGTTCCAGAAATATATCTCAAGATATTCCACAAACATCAAGTACACCTCTTACTTCAGAAGAGCTATGGAAGAGAAGAGAAGCCTACTTTGAAAAGCAGCAGCAGCGGGACCCGCCAGGACAGCCTTCACACCCATGTGAAAAGCCAATGACAAGTTCAGGGGCCCTCAGGGGTGATCCAGGGGATCCTATGAGAGAAGAAGACATGCTTGAGGCAGCTGTGACCATGTCATTAGAAACTGTTAGAAATAGTTTCATAACAGAAGGAAAAAAATAATACCTAATACCTTTTACAAATCATTTACATATTTATACTTTCCAACATTATCTTTTGTTATTACAGCATAAGGGTCCATTTTGGTAATGTCAAAAAGAATAATGTTCCACAGAGGAAATAAGACTCTTAGGTGGTTTGCAACAAAAAAGATGAGAAAATGGGAAAATGCATCAGTTGTATGATCTTCCAAACAGTAGCCAAAGAGACATTTAAAAATTACAGAAATTTAAAATAGAAAAAAAAATGTTTCACAAATATTTATTTCAATTTGTTTCAAAATTTTCAGTCTGGGGAATAAACACACATCAGTTAGACACTGGCAAAACTATGGTGACAAGGAATGCTGACCTCATCTGCAGGTCACACATCTCTCTCTCCAGGGAGAAGTTGTCAAACCCATCAAGAGCTGAAGGACAGTACCTCAATTATATGCAGAACACAAATTATCTGTAACTGGAATCAGCAAACACACTTAGCAGGAAGCACGCCCTCTCAAAGAGGTCCCTGTTGTCAGAGGAAACACTCAAGTCCCACTGAGTCCCAGGCAAACATTCCCAGCCCCATCAGTGCCCCGGCCAGTCTGAACATCCTCTTCCGAATGTGCCCAGCCTGTCTCATTCTCCTTCAGTATGCTGCTGGGGGCAGAGAAAAGCTGGCCCACTTGCTAATCTGCACAATGGGAGCTCTTTTCATGGCACAGGACCATTTTGGCATCAAAGCACACTGCTGGTGGCCTGGTGCCTCTGGTCCTGAACCTGAACTGAAGCCAGCAGAAATGAAATTTTGTTGACAGAGTAGGCACTAGGAGGCCTTAATTTTAGGCTCCATTGATCTAGCTTCTGGATCCAGTTTGTGCTTGGGCAAATCACCATTACTCAGCTAAGACATCCTTCAGGTCTCTGACCTTCCACCACCACAAGACAGCTCCCTCCCCAATATGAAAAGCAGTTGAATCAGCAAACTGTGACAATGTCAGTTGTTGTCCTCCCCACTCCGCTCTGGGTAAATGCACCTTTCACCTAGGGGCTCAGCCCCAAACCCTGGAGTCCAATCTGTAGGCCTCTTTCTCTCCCACCCAACATGGAACTTCTTAGCAGAACATTTAAGCCCTGCCTTCAAAATGCATCCCAAGCACAAGTGCCTCTAACCTTTTATGCTGTACCACCCTGTCTAAGCTAACATCACCTCACATCTGACTCTTTTAAAAGCCCCTTAACTGGTCTCTGCTTCTGGCTTCCACTCTTGCCCCTGAAAAATCTATTCCTTACCCAGTAGTCAGGTCATGTCACTGCTCTGCTCCCTCCTCCAGTGTCTTCCTACCTGCAAGGTCTTCCCATGGTCTCTCTGATCCTAGCAAGCTAGTCCCCACCCTACTCTTCTCCCTCCACTGGCTCCCTCATTCCCTTCTCTCCAGCTATTCTGTCTCCCACCTCAGAGGCTTTGCACAGGGATTCCCTCTGCTTGGAATGTTCTACTGTTTATCAATCTTCTCTTCCTTCAGGTCTCTGCTTATGAGTCACCTCCTTGGCAAGGCACTATATGGCACATATTTTACTGTGTGTTCCCGACTAGAATATACACTACTTGGTGGCAGGAGCTTCCTTTTGTTTATTGCTGTATCTCCGGCACCCTAGTATAGTGTCTGGGAATGTGCTCAATGAAGAAATAAATGCATAGCTATCTTGCTCAAAGTCTCTGTCTGATGACTGTGTTGACACTCGCTGTCAAAGTGTCTACTGAAGAATATATGCAATCCCTATCAAAATACCAAAGACTTTATTTACAGAGTGAGAGAAAATAACCCTAAAGTTTGCTTGGAACCACAAAAGACCCCAGGTAGCTACAGCAATCTTGAGAAAGAACAACAAAGCTGTGGGTATCACACTCCCTGATCTCAAACTATACTATAAATCTACAGTAATCAAAACAGTACATTAACTGGCACAAAAACAGATACACAGATCAATGCAGCAGAATAAAGAGTCCAGAAATATGGTCAATTAATCTACAACAAAGGAGGCAAGAATATACAATGGGGAAAAAACAGTCTCTTCAATAAATGGTGTTGGGAAAACTGGAACAGCTACATGCGAGAGAATCACACTGGACTACTGTCTTATGCCATGTGCAAAAATAAACTCAGAATGGATTAAAGACCTAAATATAAGATCTGACACTGTAAAACTCCTCAAAGAAAATATAGGCAGTACACTCTTGAACATCAGCATTAGTAATTTTTTTCTGGATATATTTTCCTATGTGAGAGAAACAAAAGCAGAAATAAATGAATGGTTATACACTAAGATTTGTGCACCTTATTGTATGTGCCTCAACAGAAAAAAAATTTAAATAAAAATAACTAAACAACAAGTGGGACTACATCAAACTAAAAAGCTTCTGCACAGCAAAGGAAACTATCAACAAAATGTAAAGATCATCTACTGAATAGGAGAATATATTTGCAAATGATATGTCTGATAAGGGGCTAATATACTAAAAAGTCATACAACTCAATACAAATAATACAACTCCCCCAAATAATCTGATTAAAACATGAACTAAAAATGAATTTTAAAGAGTATTAAAAATGGACTAAAAATGAATAGATGTTTTGCAAAAAAAGACATACAGATGGGCAACAGATACCTGAAAAGATGCTCAACGTTATTAATCATGATGGAAATGCAAATCAAAACCACAATGAGATACCACCTCACACCAGTCAGAATGGCCACTCTCCCAAAGACAAGAAATAACAAGTATTGGTGAGTATGTGGAGAAAAGGGGAACCCTCCTACACTGTTGGTGGGAATGTAAATTGGTACAGCCACTGTGGAAAGCAGTATGGAGATTTTTCAAAAAAATTAAAATTAGAAATACCAAATGACCCAGCAATTCCACTTCTGGGAATCTACCTAAAGAAAATGAAATCATCAATTTGAAAAGATGTATGTACCCCTATGTTCTCTGCAGCACCATTTACAATAGCCAACCTCTGGAAGTAACCCAAGTGCCCATAGATGGAGGAATGGATAATGTGGTGCATATACACAGTGGAATTTTACTCAGATATAAAAAAGAATGAAATCTTGCCATTTGGAACAACATGGACGGACCTAGAGAGTATTATGCTAAGTGAAATAAGACAAAGATAAATATCATATGATTTCACTTATATGTGGAATCTGAAAATAAAACAAACAAAACAGAAATAGACTCATAAACACAAAGACTGGATTGTTGGTTACCATGGGGGGAAGAGTGGGTGAAACAGGTGAAGGAGATTAAGAGGTACAAAATGCAAATTATAAAATAAATTAGTTGCAGGTATGGAAGTATAACATAGGGAATATAGTCAATAATGTAGTATATTTGTATGATGACAGATGGTAGCTACACTTATTGTGGGGAACATTTAGTAATGCATATGATTGTTGAATTACTATATTGTACATCTGAAACCAATGTAATATTGTTTATCAACTACGTTTCAATAATATTTTTTTTGTTTCAATTGAAGAATGAGAAGAAAATTGTTCCTTAATGTTGCAAAGATGTCACAGAGCTCACTCTGGTGAACCAGAGGTAGAATGTCCCAAGCTCTGACTATTTAAAAAAGCAGCTCCTGATGTGGGGAGGGAGTCCTCTGAACCCTAAAACCCCCACAGATTATCATCAAAAGCACTGGATTAGATGATTCCTAAAGGCTTCTCTAACCCAAAAGTCAACTACAGAGAGGGGGTCAGAGCAGCAAAAAGACCTTCCCTGGTCTGTCCTTTCCCTGGAGCTGCTGTCTGCCCTGACAGTGGGCACAGACAGGCAGAAGGAAGAACCTGATGCCATGTGGCATAATTGCCCTGAAAGAAGGGGTCCCTTGCAAACAAACGGTAGAGCTGCAGCAGTCACCTCTCAGTGAGCCCTGCTGCCTCAGGAGTGTAGTGCCAAGCAATCCACTAATAAGAGCTGAGCAAACTGTACCAAGAAAGCCAGCTGATCCTTGGGGAGATGAGCACCCAGGGGTCAGCATGACCCCAGACTCCTATCCTAGCGGAGGTTACCTTACAGAAATGCTGCTGCTGTTGGTCGCATTGTGTCACTAACAGACAACTGCAGCAGGCATCACTGTCAGTTTCTGGACTGTGAATCAATGACACCAGAGCTTTAGGAGTCCCACGAGAAGGCTGGATGAGGTCACTGAACTTGAGTATCAAACGAGGTAATGGGCCATAATACAGTCTCTAGAACAAGTGTTCAATAAATGTTAGATGCTATTAGTCCAGACAATATAAAATTGATTGGTACTAGACTTTCCTGGGTGGATTTGTTCATTCCTTCAAGAAACATTTGCTGGGCTCCTACTATGTACTAAGCCATAAAGAGAGGAAAGGCTACAAAAGATTCACCTGCCTTTTGTAAGCTGAAAATGTATTAACAACGATGGTGATGAAAAGGGCAGCTAACCTTTTTTGAACACTTGCTGTGCACCAGGTACTGCTGGATCTTTAAGTGAAATCTGATATAATCATTGCCTGAGCCCTGGATGTTACTATCCTTGTTTCAAAGAGGAGGAAATTTAGGCTGAGAGATTTAGTCAAGGTCACAGAGGGCTCAAATCCCCTTTCAAAGCCAATTCCCTGAAACAGCGGTTTACCATTTAACCTAATGGATTAACCCTGAAGGAGGATAGAGGCCTCATCTTCTGGTGAGTTAAGGGAGGGTTTCTGAAAACATAAGAAGAATATGACTATTACCAGACGTTCCTGCTCCAGCGGGTGCAAGAGGTCAACCCAGGAGCTCAAGTCTGGAATCTGTAGCAGTGGCATTTAGCTACACAGCTGCCAACTGAGAAACGAGCAGAGGAGGGACTATCTTCCCAGACTTTCTACTGGGTGGAGGGATGAAACCATTCTCATTTTACCCCTGAACTTCTTGGCATTTCTGCCTATTAGAAATACAAGGTGTAAACTGAGACGTTATTCCCCTCTCATAATCCCCACACA